GTGAGGAAGTTTTAATTGCAAAACAATCAAATCTCTTGAAATCAGAAACTGCTCTACTTGGTCTGGGTCCATCCAACAGTTGGTTTAACAGCAAGGCAGGGGACATGATGCAAACTATCTGTTTCCATCTTCCCGTTATAGCTTTTATTTTTTTACCACAATATATGCCTTCTATATTTCAACCTATGAATGTGGAGAAATTGAACGAAGTTGTACTAAAATGAATCCTGGTCAAAGGCTTTTCTTACTGGAAAAATAGTGGCCTGGGTAAATAGACATGGAATGATTGGTTCTATAGATTGAATAGAATTATAAGTTCATTGATCTATCATAGGTGAAAGTTCATTCTTTTGAATGCTGACTGAATGGTGTGCAGGTTAAGTACGAAATGCTTCCAGTGCAAATAATTGGAACCAAATTGACTTGGGCAAAGTGGTCATGCCGGTCTCATAGTGGATAACCACATTCATGATATGTTGCTCGTCTTAGTTTCTTGTTGTGACATATCTTGTTTTTTTCCTAATCTTTTCCTTTGACAGGAGTGCTTTTATGAAAAAGATTACCTAAATTATCGATACCATGCCAAAAGATTCCTTTATCTCTGCAAAATCAAGGAACAGCTGAAACAATCTCCTTTAATCAGAGCTGTGAGGTGGTCTAGTTTCCAAAATGAAGCTCGGAAACCTATATTACTTATCTATCCAGGTCGAGTCAGACTATCTGCCCTACCTTCTCTTGCTTCTTAGTGGATATAGTTTTAGCGTCTACTGCAAATTTCAGTTTATTTAACTGACTTGATGTTTTTTTTTGGTTGTTGAAGCTGTTAAGCTTATTGGAAATGCTGAATTTGTTGTGAGAATAATTCCTACTGCAACATCTTTGTTCAGTGCAACAAAACTTCGCTTGGAGCGAAACAATATCCGTAATCTCAAACAAGGTTTATATATTTAGATATTTTGTCAAGCTCCTTTGCTCATAATGAGTTGCTTCTTAACATTGATTGCACTTACTTCCACTTGTAGGAGATGCTTTACAAGCAACACCAAGGTACAATAATAGTATATTGGAGGACATGTTTCTTGAGGGTAATGCAGAATTTGTCAAAAGAACTTTCTCTGGATGGAAAGAATTGGGAGAAGCCTTGATACTGCTAAAAGTATGCCAACTTTATTTTAAGGAACTAATATAGTCCAATAGCTTGCGTTCTTAGACAGAATATTATATAAGCTGCATTTCTGTAGGTGTGGGCTCGGCAGAGGAGTTCAATCTACGCCCATGATTGCTTAAATGGGTTTCTAATTTCTGTAGTATTGGCCTTCCTTGCAACAAAGCCTGGGAGGCATCATATAAACAGTTCCATGAATACAATGCAGATATTTCGCATCACAGTGGACTTCATCGGTATGTATTCTGTCCTCTGTCCTGGTTTTCCTCCTTGTACTATGATTACCTGCACAAGTAGAAGACAAAACATATTCGAGAATGAGACATAGATATGCTAGGCTTCAGTTGGAAAATGTAAGATATCACAGAGGATTAAGTACTTCTTGGTTGGAGTTGGTCGAAAAGAAAAAGTTGATCAAGTCACCTAAACTTGAGAAATTTTTGAAATCCTTGAGTATGCTAAGAATTCCCTACTCACTCTCTTGTTTGTTGCTAGCCGAGCTCTCCTTAGGCATGCCTCTTTTATCTACTCAGATTAATGGGGGCAAACTTCACTGCGACCTTTGTGTTATGCATTGAACAAGATGAGAATAAAATTTCTAGCTGCAGTGTTATTAGTTCATCCTAGACTTATGGGCATCAAACACTTGGGGGTTATTTGGTCCATAAGAAAAGATATTCTAGGATTTGCATGAACTGTAATACTGTATTAATAATCCCTAGATTTTTAAGTGTGTATACTTTCTTTGACAAATGTTTAATTCATTACATTGAAAATAGATTATGATACAGAGTTTAGTAATACCGGAAGAAAAAAATCCAACCAAACACGTGATAAAATAATCCCCGCTGGAGTTTTGCTCGGATTATTTTTCTAATCCTGGCAACTGTACCGCCCCTTAAGTCATGGAGATAAGTATGATTTATTTACCTAAACTAGGTAACTTATTTAAAAAGGTCTGATAGCTAGGTTAGATGCTTTATCATGCTGATCCTCAGAATTTGAGGCAACCTGCATTTGCCTTTTTCTGAACAGGAAAAAAGAGGAGTTATCCGCCGGGTAACTCCTGCATTTGACTTGCAAAACTAATTACCCAAGACTTATTAGTCTCTGAAACATTTGTTAATAACCTTAACATGAATATGAACTGAACTTATGGGCTTATATAAACTCAACTTGTAAGATTTTAGCAAAGTAGTCCTGGTAAATAATGTTATAAAAGAGTTGCTCTAGAACTTATATTTCCGAGCATTTGGTGCTTTGGTAATTTTGTTTCTCTCGATCTTTTATCTTTTCATTTCTTGGAGTTAGCTAATCATGGCAAGAGAAATATCTTAATTAGTGTGATATTCATACTTATCTTTTATTTGGTTGAGTTAGGGAACAACTGAAGAACTAATTATTTCTCTGTGTTTGCAGCCACCTCTAAGACATGGGATAAAGGGCTTTTTATTCAGCCCCAGCATGAAAAAGCTTCAAACAAGGTTAATTGCTTTGCTATGTTTGGTGATTACAAGTTACTTGAAGAAGATATACTTACCAAAAAGAAGTGTGCTAGAGACTATAAAAAGATGTATCTATGTTTCATGATTAACTCATATGGAAAGAGTTTCAAGGATTTAATTAAGAAGTAAAAATCCAATATCTTTTTGATAATAAAGAAACAACTAGGTGAGAAAAGCTACTAAATCATCTTGTAAAGAGAATGGAGCTTCACCTTTCCAAATGTTCACGGAAGAATGTCAGACCTGTTCCCATCCCACCTTACATTTCATTAGTGCATGTACTTGTTTGGTTGTCTCAGCTAAAATTATTACAACTCGCTTTCAGTCTGTCTCTGGTTATTTTGCTTTACAAAATCTATTTTCTGGGTTGATAACGAACTGTTAGTGATCCCTTTTTTATTAGTTGTCTAAATAGGTGACATAATCAAAACGAAATAGGTCTTTAAATTAGTTCATTCCTCCATTTACATGTATTTTAGGCGTCAATGTCTAAAAGCCTTGTTAGAAATGCCATTGTTCGGTCTTTCCCATCTCACTATCTAATTGTTGTGGTCTCTTCATTGTGAGCGTATGTGTACCTATTTGTTGTAATTGTCTCTCGCTTCTTATTTCTTTTTCGTTTGTCTCGTACGGTACGTTGAGTACAGGTAGTAACTAATTTAAAAGTAGTCGTCTTTTACCCTTACTACTTCATTACTTAACGTTTAGTTAAGTTATCGACGTAGTAATGTCAGTTCGTTTCGTTCTAGGTCGTATTTAGTCTAAAGTTCTAGTTTAGTTACGGACGTTTACCTAATTTACGGTCGTACTTCGTTTACCGTGTTCGTCCGACTAAACTGGGTTTCCGGTTAAAAGAGGTTTAGGATTTTTAACGTTTAGTAGGTAA